GGCTTCTAGAATTAACATGAATGGTAGAAAAAACAATTGCTCGCTTTGATACTAGAGAATTTATTGGGGTCGTAATATTGGGATGTGGCATGATTGTTAGCAAAAAAATAAGTATTAGGGTCAATATAAGATGTACAATTATCGGAGTTGTTTGAAAAGGGGGAGAAAATTTAATTTGAGAGTCGGTCGTTATTCGATGTGCCGCTGAATGACCTACTTGACATAGAATAAAACCAGCTGGAAAGCTCTCAGCAAAAATTGCAAAAAAAAAACAAAAAACAAGAAATGACAATATGGTAAATAAAATGATGGTCAAAAGAAGATAGCAATATAGCAACATGATCTTTATACCTTAATATAACGTAACAATAACATAACATAGTAGTAATACAAAGACAAAATAACAACCAAATAATGAAATAATGTTAGCTGAATATAACACAATTAATAACATTACATAGGATAGTAATGAAGATATCAACATAAAACAAAGTCATAGCCTAGTAATAACACCCATACGTTTCCACAGTCTACTTTTCACAATGCGCTTAACTTCTCTTATTCCGTTCTGTTTCCAACAAATCCGGATTCTCACTCCGTTACTCACGGTATCCTAATGCAATTCCGGTGTGGTTACAATGTCGGTATCGTTTCAACTTTCTGTATCGTTGCAATTTTGGTATAATTCCACCCAAGCTCGAAATACTGTTTTTTTTTTTGTTTTTTTTTGTCACAGCTAAAAGCTTCATTGATTTCAAACGATCACAACTATTTTCGATACCACCACCGGCTAAAAATATATATACAGAACCCCCAATAATGCAATCGCTGATTATCACTTAGGCCAACCATTATACAATTATTTGAACATTTAACAATCAAGTTTTGCCTACAATATATCATACTATATCATTCACATCGTTACTATAAAATACAACAATCAACTCATTAGTGTCTGCATTACACTTCCATGTTCTGTCGTTTACAATATAAAGGAAAACATCGATGGAACAGCAAAATCCGACCTTACAGTAAATGTGATAACGTACATGATTTGTTTAACATGAATCTACCTCTATATGGCCATTTACTTTAAGATCATTCCCGATACAGACGGATCCAGAAATTCAAAGTAGAGGGGGCCCGTGGAGGTACTTTTGCAGATTGAGGATTCAGCCCTACCATGATTTTGGCTAAGATAAGGAAATGTGTGATTATGACACCTCTAATGGCCGCAAATTGGACTCTCAGACTTAATTTTGAATATAATTTTCATTATATTTCTTATCTGGGGTAACTTTGGCAGGTTTTTACCATTGTAGGGGCAATTATACACCAAAACAACTATCTTTTTTTTCCCTATCGTATTATATACTGAGGGTTATTGTTGCCACTGATGTCGGAGAAAAATATAAATCTGCATATAATTCTTCCCTGAGGGCTATAAAGGACTGCCAAAGTTACTAAGTTTTAGGCAACATTGGCACTTCACAACTTTTCAATGAATTAATATAAATAGGCCTATTGACAATAAAATAGACAAACACAAGCTGAATTGTAATGGCAAGCAAATATCAACTTTAATAGAATCTAATACAACTTAAAAGCTATTCTAATAGAGTATATATCACGCGGTATGTTAATCTGTTCAACCATAAAGCCTCTGTGGTATGATAGTTATGACGCTCGCCTTGACAGCGAGAGGTCGCAGGTCCGAATCCCGTCAGAGGCATTTTATTACACAATTTCTTTATTCACTTAATTATATTGCTATATTCTTTGAGAGCTATGCTACAGTACACGATGTATTATTATGCCATATAGTACTTATGTACATTGGAATTGAATTGGAGGACAACAAAATTTCGGCCTCGATTTTCAAAAGCAATCTTATGGTTGCATGATGTCATACGGTAATATTTTGGGATAAATACGGT